GACCAGACTAGACTAGTAGCACTATGTAGCAGTATATGGTTGCACACAGGGCAACTAAAAATTTTACCTCCCTCACTGCAACCATTTTGGTTGCGCATGTGACAACACACTTATGTGCCTTGCCCTGAGTGCAACCAACAAGAAATCAGACTTGTCTATCGCATTTAACACATTTCACAGTGTTTACAGTCTATTTTAACCTTTACACAACCTCATTACAACGTTTGCAACTCATTCACGCCAAATACTAAGCATAAATAACACAGTCAACAACTTACCTTAAAATTTCACAAACAGATGTTTTTTTTCCGTCGAACTTTCGCTGTTGATACCGGCTTACAAAATGGCTGTAAATGATCCGGAAGTAAAAGAAGCTAAAAGGTAGACCAAAGGGAGTCTACTGAGTATATCTTTGTTTTAATATATCGCCTACATCGAGAGTTAAGTAAAGTGGTTGCTCAAAGGACTGGTTGCACAGGGGGCGAGTTACTCTAGCCTCTAGCATCAATGTCGTTTGAATGAAGATGGCAATTGAATAAAAATCATGAATTGCGCATATAATGATGACATCAGCAACAGAAATTTACCGGTGACTCGGTAGAAAATACCACTGATTCACTGTGCCCCTAAACATTTTATCCGATCTTCTTCATTAAAATACATTTTTAACAACCAAAATGTTCCTTAGATGTTTATCTAGTAAAATTCATCATAATCATTCATAATCTCATTTTTGCTAACCTAAAAATTATATAAATATCGATGGACCACATTAAGTTTTTAAGCCTTACTGCCCTTAACTTACAAAATGAAAGTTTGTTTTTGAAATTTTAGAACTCTACGAAAAGGTGTTATTTTAAAGATGGCCACCGTTTTCATGGCAACTAAATAATTTTTATTTGTTTTAAAGTACTTTTAAAGCATGAAAATATATCTCCCTTTATACCCTAAATTAGGTATTATTATGCTAGGTACACCGCCGCAGTAATCTTGGTTTTGGGAAACTCAACTTCCGGCAATAACAATGTCGAACTTAAGTTTTAACTACTTTCTAGTTAGTTAGCGAAAACGTTCTTCGCTTTTTTGTCCTGCCTTTCGATTCAAGCTTCCACATACCTTGTTTATTTTTTCACACAGCTTGACCACAGTCCTTCACTTATTATTCTTTTTCTTTGTGAATGTCAAGTGGGAGACACAAAATTGTAAAAGTGACGCCGACAGACAGTGACAGTTAAGACAGTAGACAGTCTCTAACACTAGTTAAGTGTCCCTAGTCAGGCCACTGAAACTATTTGAATTTGCAGTTATCTTTTTATTTCACTTTAAAACTTAAAACTGGCTGTGTGAACTAGATTAAGAAAGTTGATAGAGCTGTTGATAAATGTTATTATTTTTGTTAGGCCTACACTCACTACACACTACACAACTAGCCTTGAACTCGGTAGTGTAAGTAGTACTAGTTACTACTATTTCTTAGTCTTAGAGATACAATCTGCCCATGTATTTTATTATATGTTAAATCATTAAATAGTAATTATAAATAAATCATTAATTTACTTACAGATACAAAAATACCCCGTATAAGGCTCTAAAACATAGCATTTTTTAAAATAAAGTATCAGGTGGTTTTTTTTTTTAAAGACTTAACAACATAATAAAATAATGATTATATAATTTTCAAATATTCATCAGCAAATTTCATCAAATTCAATCAATGAATAGTCACTGAAGAGAAATGCTGCAGCCTGGATATGTGCTGGTTCATGATTGGATAAGATTACCTGAAGGTGCAGAAATTCTGCGCTCTATATCTTCCATAAATGGACATCATTTAAGACCATACGGTAAAATTATAAATAAATTTAACAAGGAATACCACTGTAAAATATAACTGTTCATAATAAGTACTTATATTATGCAGTAATTCCAGGGTTTTAATCTGACAAAACAATACAATCCTAATTTACGAAACTCGTCTGTTAGGTTTACTGGAGCGCCCAAGCCTGCCATCAAATTTTCAAGTTGAGGATGTAAACTATAAGATTGCAGTAGTTGGTAAAAGTGGTGTTGGAAAGACCTCAACAATTGCCAGGCTTTCTGGTCATCCAGTTCCGAGCACTCACAGTGAGACTGCAGGTATAATCTGGCATGATCATTAATTAGATTTATATCTTTAAATGAAATAATATGTCTCATTTTGTTTAGCTAACCAGATTTCTTCTGGTAAACAACACAAATGTTTCATTTCCATTTTGTTGTTATTTTAAGGAATACAGGTGACAAAGATGTATTGGCCTGTGAAAATAGCACATCTGAATAAAATTGTTATGATGAACTTGTCTTTATGGGACACAGGGGAAATAGCGGTCAAGAAATTTGATCATATTTTGCCGGTAAGTCTAGTGGAAAAGGGAACAAAGTTTTATAATGTAGATAAAAGCAGAAATCTTTAGTAACAACTGAAAATGATGCTGAACTTTTAGCTGAAATCTTTCTGTCTATATATTAATGTGGGTGTGCTATTTAAAAAATAAATTTTATGACAGAATATAAATGAAAGAAATAGCTCTTATTTAAATAATTAAGGGCCTTCACTATGCAATTTTAGCCTGTCTTTCTTTTACCTTTATCCTTTAAAAGCGTCTCCATTAGCAGTCCTTAATTCTCTGAAATGTATCTTTTAGTAATTCATCACTTTGATGCTATTATTGTAGTCAGATCTGGCATTATCCTATAACAATTTATGACTTTGATTAATTTGTTGAACCCTAGGCCTGTAAGTCTGATGTCGATGGTATTCTTTTCCTGTTCTCCTTTGTTGACAAGGGCAGCTGGGAGGAGATACCTCACCTCATCTCTAGATTGACCGATCCTCAGGATCAACTTTCCAAAATCGTCATCGGTACAAAGTATCCTTTTTTATTATAGTGTCTATTACACCAAGTTATTATTTTAACACCAAAGATCCACATTATGCAGTTCCACAGCAGTTGAATTTTTCATTTATATCAATCCAACAAATTAGGTCGTCCATATTTCAAAGCGACAAAACAGTTGTATAATAAAGTTGTAAATGTTGTAGTATGCAGATATAGAGGTTATTTACTAGATGTGCTCTATGGATTTAAAGTTTATTTACTAGATGTGCTTTACGGATCTAAAGGTTAGTTACTTGATATGCTATATGCATATGAGGTTTATTTACTAGATGTGCTATATGGCTCTAAGGGTTATTGTCTAGATGTGCTACATGGATTACTAGATGTGCTTTATGGATATACAGGATATTTACTAGATGAGTTTTATGGATTACTAGATGTGCTTTATGGATTTAAAGTTTATTTACAGTACTCTGCAGAAGAAGAATGTTATAATTAATACTAATGATCTAAAGAAAAGGGGGGTCAGTTATTATAGAGTTTCATAGAGAAATGATATTTATGTCTGAATACGTCCGTTGTGTTCTCCTAACATACGTCCGTTGTGTTCTCCTAACACATAAGATCATGCTTTGAACATTTTCACAATCCCTATACAGGTCAAATAACCATCAAATGTTTTTTCTCTAACCGATGTCCAGATTTGACCAGTACGCACACAGTGAAGTCAGTCAACGAGAGTTGCGTGAGTTTGAGTCCAGGTGGCAGATGCCCGTGCTGAAGATGTGCAACATTGCATCCCAGGAGACCGGCGTAGGCCTCTGTGACATCATCCCCGTGTTAAACTGTATCTGTGAGCACCTGTGGCACAGGGATGTCTTGAAAGAAGAGCAAAAGTAAAAGGTCAAAAGGTCACTTGTACAGCAAAGTTTGTTCGACCTTGATGTGGATGTGAGTCAGTTGTTGCTTTGAAATGGTGTATGAGAATTTTAACCCTTGGCCTTCATTGATCTAGGTTGGGTTGCCGTCATTGATCTATGACAGGTTATCTCCATGGCTTCTTGTAGGTTTTTTGTTGAGGTTTCTGCCACTAACCTCTGATGAGATTACGAAGTGTGAAATTATTTATATTTATATCATTCAGATGAAAATAATATTGAGCATCAAATTGTGTGTGTGTTTCTGTTTGAGTAAGTTTATATTTTGTCAATGACATGAACTGACCAGCTGATTGAATGACATGAACTGACCAGCTGATTGATTGACATGAATTGACCAGCTCTGTGATCCTTCTTGTGTGTTAAATATTTCCAGCTGGGAATGACTAAGTTGGTTCATAAATAAATGTGTAATGAAATTGTTGTGATTGCAATGATCAGTATAATTTTATATTTATTTTTTTAAAATAAATTATTGTAACTAAAATTTGAAATATTTCATGTGAGAAAGGCAGCTCTGTTAAAATGATGTAATATAGTTTCATTATTGATGTATCCTTTTTAGTGTAACTATTTTTTACTTTGTGAGAAGGGATCTGATGTCATAATCTTATGCCAAGGTTTCCCAACCTGGGGTGATGGGGGAATATCAGGGTTGTGAGGAAACGGGCCTGTGAGAACAGCTGTTTATATATTTCTTTATTTACATTTTACTTTATGCGATTAGTCACTAGTCGATTGTATTTTTCTACTGTTTGCGTTTTCATTTCAAGCAAAGTTAGAAGCCAGTATCTGATCAAATTTTACTTTTTTTAGGGCTTGAAAGATTATTTTCAAATAATTCGTAATCCAAGAAATATTCAGTAAGTCAAGAGACCACAGTGGGTTGCTGGTTCTGTCTTAGCTTTAACATAATGCTACATACAGCAGAGATTCTAAAACTCTGGTACTTGTACCACCAGAGTTACATCACTTTGTCGCATGGGATAAATAAGTATATCATAAAAAGACAACAGCAAAAACATACCGATGAAGTATTGAAAGTAGTAAATAGGTCAATATTGTTACGTCCATGTTTAGCAGTTTAATTTGCATGTACAACATTCCATAAGTTTTTAGAACCCTGGTAATACATTGTGATAACATTAAAATATTACATAAATCATGTCTCAACAATGAAAATAAATTACATTTTTTATAGCTGTTAAAACCAGCTTATGTTTTAATATTGTATCAATGAAGGTGTTCAATTACCAACAACATGGTGAACAACACGGTGTTCAACTCTGGAAACTGACGTGAGTTTATGAATCTAGAAATGTTGACTGTGTTTCAGAATACAACGCATAAAGATTGAGCAATGTTAGCATCAATGAATATACAAGATTTACATCATTTTCATCTCAGGCTTGTTTTCCCCAAACGTTTAGCAATGAAATTTAGAAACATATACATATTAATTATATGCAATTTAATATGGAAAGATGGTACAAGTAAAAGTATGGAAAGATGGCACAAGTAAATACCTGGTAGTATGGAAAGATGGCACAAGTAAATAGTATGGAAAGATGGCACAAATAAATTCTATGGAAAGATGGCACTAGTAAATAGTATGGAATGATGGTACAAGTAAATAGTATGGAAAGATGGTACAAGTAATTAGTATGGAAAGGTGGTACAAGTAAATAGTATGGAAAGGTGGTACAAGTAATTAGTATGGAAAGGTATTACAAGTAAATAGTATGGAAAGGTAATACAAGTAATTAGTATGGAAAGATGGTACAAGTAATTAGTATGGGAGAATTATTTGCTGTAATAAAATAAGAAATCAAAGTCAATACCGGTACTGTTTAAAACAACTCTTTCTGAGCAGTTTGCCTCCCCTTAATTAACGTTATGTAGAATTTCTGCACATAATAAAGGGACACAATCATCTTTATGAAAGACTATTTGTGGACACTTGCATAAAATCCACACGTGGTAGCGAGCTGGTCAGGTCTATGAATAAACCGACAAGTGGTAACGAGCTGGTCAGGTCTATGAATAAACCGACAAGTGGTAGCGAGCTGGTCAGGTCTATGAATAAACCGACAAGTGGTAGCGAGCTGGTCAGGTCTATGAATAAACCGACAAGTGGTAGCGAGCTGGTCAGGTCTATGAATAAACCGACAAGTGGTAGCGAGCTGGTCAGGTCTATGAATAAACCGACAAGTGGTAGCGAGCTGGTCAGGTCTATGAATAAACCGACAAGTGGTAACGAGCTGGTCAGGTCTATGAATAAACCGACAAGTGGTAACGAGCTGGTCAGGTCTATGAACAGTTCCACAAAGCTCACGTATTCTCCACTCGAGCACACGACCTTGACCTCATCCCTTAGGCACGTTTCTGTCGTCTGTGCAGTGTCTGATTAACCAACAGGCAAACGAGGCGAAAGCACAGGGGCGCCCACCCCTTTTAGGGACCCGCGACAAAGTACACACATTTTGAAAATTGATCTGATCTGGAACATAGGTGCAATGAGGTCATGTAATGAGATCATGTTTTGATTGGCATCTAAATTACATCTCTTACAGAACAATTTATAGAAAATTTGTTGACCGTCCAAGGGGGTAGGCGGTGGTGGGGGTGTCGGAGAGAAAGAAGTAAGGGATTCAACCACATGTTGTTTATTTTGTTCCAAAGGGGCCGTCCATGAAGTACGTCATGCTCCGTAGAGGGAAAGGGGGGGGGGTCTTAAAAGAGACAGCTTGTCACGTGGGGGCAGGGGGGGGAGATTGTGTCATGTCAAACATTTTTTAATTCTACATATAGATGCCCCCACCCTAATTTTGACNGGATTCAACCACATGTTGTTTATTTTGTTCCAAAGGGGCCGTCCATGAAGTACGTCATGCTCCGTAGAGGGAAAGGGGGGGGGGTCTTAAAAGAGACAGCTTGTCACGTGGGGGCAGGGGGGAGAGATTGTGTCATGTCAAACATTTTTTAATTCTACATATAGATGCCCCCACCCTAATTTTGACTGCCTAGGAGCCCCAGTAGGGCTTTAACCGGCCCTGCGTGTAAGTCTAGTGTACCTTGTTGCACTATCTCTGCTATCAATCAAGACACGTGCGTAAACACGTGGTTGAAACATTGGGGTGCTAGGGTCTATGTAAAGTTTGGGGTGCTAGGGTCTATGTAAAGTTTGGGGTGCTAGGGTCTATGTAAAGTTTGGGGTGCTAGGGTCTATGTAAAGTCTGGGGTGCTAGGGTCTATGTTAAGTCGAGAAATCTAACAAATTATAATTGAATTATAATGATTAACACATATCGTAATTGAATTATAATGATAATACACAAATTATAATTGAATTATAATGATTAAACACGTATCGTAATTTAATTATAGTGATTTAACACATCTCGTAATGTAATTATAATGGTTAAACACATATCTTAATGTAATTTTAAAGATTATACAGAAATTATAATTAAATTATGATTATACATATAGTCAGAAAAAGCTCAAGGCCTTTCTCCTAAACAGATCTGACCGCATCCATGGAATTTCAGTAGCCTATGTCAGTGTCCCAGGCCTTTTAGCAGCTATGTAGGCTGCATATTAGGTTTTGTGTGTTAGACACATATGCAGGCTGCTCATTAGGCCTTGTGTGTTAGACACATATGCAGGCTGCTCATTAGGCCTTGTGTGTTAGACACATATGCAGGCTGCTCATTAGGCCTTGTGTGTTAGACACATATGCAGGCTGCTCATTAGGCCTTGTGTGTTAGACACATATGCAGGCTGCTCATTAGGCCTTGTGTGTTAGACACATATGCAGGCTGCTCATTAGGCCTTGTGTGTTAGACACATATGCAGGCTGGTCATTAGGCCTTGTGTGTTAGACACATATGCAGGCTGCTCATTAGGCCTTGTGTGTTAGAAATATACGTTGGCTGCATATTAGGCCGTGTGTGTTAGACATATGTAGCCTGCAGGTAAGGCATTGTAGACACCTATGTAGACTTCAGATTAGGCCTGGTGAGTTAGACACCTATGTAGGCTGCTAATAAGGTAGGCCTTGTGTGTTAGACACCTATTTAGGCTGCAAATAAGGTAGGCCTTGTGTGTTAGACACCTATGTAAGCTGCAAATAAGGTAAGGCCTTGTGTGTTTGACACCTAGGTAGGCTGCAAAGAAGCTAGGCATTGTGTATTAGACACCTATGTAAGCTGCAAATAAGATAGGCCTTGTGTGTTAGACACCTATGTAGGCTGCAAATAAGGTAAGGCCTTATGTGTTAGACACCTATGTAGGCTGCAAATAAGGTAGGCCTTGTGTGTTAGACACCTATGTAAGCTGCAAATAAGATAGGCCTTGTGTGTTAGACACCTATGTAGGCTGCAAATAAGGTAAGGCCTTGTGTGTTAGACACCTATGTAGGCTGAAAATAAGGTAGGCCTTGTGTGTTAGACACCTATGTAGGCTGCTAATAAGGTATGCCGTGTGTGTTAGCTACCTATTTAGGCTGCAGATAAGGTAGGCCTTGTGTGTTAGACACCTATGTAGGCTGCTAATAAGGTAGGCCTCATGTGTTAGACACATATGTGGACTCCATATTAGGATTTGTGTATTATTTAATATAATAGTAGCCTCCCACTAAATAGAATACAAATTACCTGAGTTCTCACGTCAAGCATGACAGCCTTCTTTTCACTCAGTAGTATTAATAAAAAAAAAAAACATGTGGAGTTGTGGAGGGTCTGGTTTCGAAAATAAAAATCAGGACACACCAGAAGCAATATCTATATCTATACCGGTATATACAAGATGATTAAATTAAAACATTCACCACGACACATTTCAGTCATCTTGAAACTGCACTTCAGATTTCCGCCTTCCGGTCTCCATCTGCCTGCTGGACCTCCTCGCTCGTTCGTTGGCCAGGTTTTCTCTCATCTCGTGTTGCTGCGACACCTTCCTGCTGGCCACGTGCATGAGGACGTCATCCACATTCTTGATATCGAAAATCTCAAACGTCTGCTTGTTCCCCGCGCCCTGCCCGCGCACCACGACCTTCCGGCAGTCGCAGGACACTTGGAGGTCGGTGATCGCAAAGTTCGTCCGGTAGCTGGCGATTTCTCTTTTCTCCAAAGGGGTCCAGAGGCGGATGGTCTGGCTGTCGGTAACCATGGCTATGATGGCCGCATCTTTAGAGACTACAGTTGCGGAAATCTGAGAAGGATAATTGAATTAAAGAGTCACTGAAAGAGAATAAATATTCAATCATTCAATATCCTGGAATTTTTACCATTTAAATCATGAAATATGGAATAATTCAAAGACTTGAATATTGAAATATCAAATATTGAAATTCGAATAGTACATTTTGCATATAACCCGGGGGGGGGGGGGGGGTCTCCGCAGAAAGTACGTTCATTTTTTTTCGAAAATTCGAAACTATTCATCATGAATCGCTGACGGAATTTAAAAAAAAAAAATCATATTTGTATCTCTAATGCTGTAAACGTATGTAATGTTTTGTAGGAATTATCGTCACACAATGTTGCCTTGTGGTTTCACAAATAACTCGCTAAGATATAGCTCAAATAGTAGTCAGTAGTAGCAGTATTACAGTAATATTTGGTCCAACCCCACTTTAGTAGGCTACGCCATTGATTCCAATTTTGTAAAATTTTCTTGGTGTCTATGGCAAATTTAGGTTTTCGCCAGGCTCCCTTTGTTAAATCCTAACAAATACAAGTCGAAACAAGGAATAAAGGCTGGCATCCGCCCGTCGCAATGCGACGATGGTGAGGACTTAGCGGGACGAGATCCACAAGACCTGGGCTTTTTCTTCTAGGATTATAAGCTGGTTCCCAACAGCAAATCGCCTCTCTCCACGCCACTGGATGACCCAAGGGAACATCATGCGGATGATACAGCTTGGCACCAGTGGCGTCGCAGGAGTTGTCGGAGTGTTTCGTTGTACCAATGTTATCCGCCTACATGGCTCCATCTCCGGGTTTGAATTCAGAGTTTCCTTCTCTTAGATGAGTTGCCGTCCAAGGCGAACGGGTCCCGACCACCCGGGGTGCTGGTGATGTTTTCTGCTTGGCTGGGCTTTGGCTGGAATTGAACTCCAGACCAACAACTTGAGATTTAACGATTAAATGAAACAAAATAAAATAAAAGGTTGGGTGAAAATAAAACTGACACGCACTTAGGTCACTGACCGTCATTGACTATCTGAATACCGTAGTTACTCAAGTGTGTGCACCACGACAAAACTACGCCTTCACAGTCACTGGGCGTCATTGACTATCTGAATACCGTAGTTACTCGAGTGTGTGCACCACGACAAAACTACGCCTTCACAGTCACTGGGCGTCATTGACTATCTGAATACCTTAGTTACTCAAGTGTGTGCACCACGACAAAACTACGCCTTCACAGTCACTGGGCGTCATTGAGTATCTGAATACCGTAGTTACTCAAGTGTGTGCACCACGACAAAACTACGCCTTCACAGTCACTGGGCGTCATTGACTATCTGAATACCTTAGTTACTCGAGTGTGTGCACCACGACAAAACTACGCCTTCACAGTCACTGGGCGTCATTGACTATCTGAATACCTTAGTTACTCGAGTGTGTGCACCACGACAAAACTACGCCTTCACAGTCACTGGGCGTCATTGACTATCTGAATACCTTAGTTACTCGAGTGTGTGCACCACGACAAAACTACGCCTTCACAGTCACTGGGCGTCATTGACTATCTGAATACCTTAGTTACTCAAGTGTGTGCACCACGACAAAACTACGCCTTCACAGTCACTGGGCGTCATTGACTATCTGAATACCGTAGTTACTCAAGTGTGTGCATCACGACAAAACTACGCCTTCACAGTCACTGGGCGTCATTGACTATCTGAATACCGTAGTTACTCAAGTGTGTGCACCGCGACAAAACTACGCCTTCACAGTCACTGACCGTCATTGACTATCTGAATACCGTAGTTACTCAAGTGTGTGCACCGCGACAAAACTACGCCTTCACAGTCACTGACCGTCATTGACTATCTGAATACCTTAGTTACTCAA